TCACACACATCTCACGGAAATCCTGTATAATTCAACCAATCCGATGACGACTTCGAAACTCCTTAAGTGTTTCCACTTTTGTGTGCCATATGCATCAGACCTTTGGCCAACGTTCCGTGGGCGTGACGTCTGAGGCTGAAACTAGGGTTGGGCCGATAGACGATGCCATCGTCCATCGCCGATGGCTGACAGCCATCACGATGTTAAGCTGACATCGTGATTCCTTCCCCCCACCCCCTCTCCCGCAATCCGCCGCATCCCAGTTCCGTGTTCGGAAAGGAAATGCAGTGTACTACGTAGTGTTGTCACGGTACCAAAATTTCAGTATTCGGTACCGATACACTAGTACTACGGAAACCTTAAAGGGAATAAATAGCCGACGAGATGGGAGAATAAAAAAAAATATTTAAATACTTTTTCTCGCAATTATATCGTTGGGTAAGTATAGGCGACTGTATATAAATTGCGGGCATCAGGGAGCCGCTATTGAAACCGCTTTCGATTGCGCGCTCTCATTTTACTTTCACTTTCACTTTTGAGATTCGCGATCACAAGGACTCTATACTATGGAGCGGCAGTACTTACCACACATTTGACAAGATTAGATGTTTGTCATTGGTGCTAAGGATCTGCAAATAATTCGCCATTGTCCTATCAGACATTTCTCCTTACTCTGTGTATGTGGTAAGTGAACTTTAATGTACTGTAATGCAACAGGCTACCGCTAGCGAGCGGCTAACCTTTTAGTGGCTCAGTAAAACGTGTATATATGTATGTGTGTGTTATATACTATAATTTTATCTATTTTATTATTATTTGCTTTGATTATAATAATATATCTCAAATGCTATGAACAAGATATGCTCCAAAGTTTACTATTAAGGGATAGGGACTCTCTAAGTGTAATAACAACGATACATAATTGAACAATTTTTTGTGAAATTATTAGTGTAATTTCTGATTTGTCTCTTAGATAATTTAGCACAATGACAATTATGGAACAATTTCCCTAAATGGATTAGTCAACAGCATAAATATTCAGTGGCAAAACTGTTTAGAATTGAGGTCAGGGGCCTTTTAGGGGTCATGATGATGCCTAATGGATAGTGTGACTCCACAGATGTGGATAGTGTGAGATATGTGGGAGAGTAGACAACAAACACTGCTGCTCGAAGAGGAAACCTGAGGTTATTGGTGAGCCACACATACTCGTCTTCCCTCGCCGGTACCCTTTTTATTATTATTATTATTTTTTATTTTTTTTTGCTTTGTTAACTTCTGTTTTCGGTAATGTTGTTACCAGTGTTGATTTTAGAGAGGCAGTGTGTGTATAGGAGGGGCTGGGATAGAAAGACGGCTGCTTTTGGCTTTGACCGAAGGGTGAATTAGTTCTACTGTGTGTGACTTTCAGGTCAGTCTGGGGGTCAGTTTGACTTGAACAGAAGGAATTGAAATTGTGTGTCTGTTTTCAGCTGAGCTGTGACTTTAGGAGACTCCAGGACTTTTCTTTGTCTCCGTGGACTGAGTCAGACAATGGGATAGTCTGTCTTCTCTTTGTCAGGTTGCAAACTCACAGAGGGTCTGGTTAACAACAGCATTTTGTGTCTTGTCTGATCGTGGATTCAACTTGGCTAACTTATTTATTAAAATGTAATTATGGTGTAGATGTTGAAAGAGGGAATTAAAGGGGTCATGAACTGCATTTTTAAAATTACTTTATAATGCTCTGTTAGGTTCACTTATAATGTTAGTGTGATTTTACATTAAAAAAACATAATTTAGGAGTAATAGGCTATTTTATATCTTGTTTTTGAGCCTCTCTGCAGAATGGTCTGTTTTATAGGCGGGAAGCATTTAAGATGAGCAAGTAAACGCCCACTGCTATGATTGGCTAACAGTTTTGCTTATTAAAATAACAGATGGACGCTGCTGTATGGGATAACATCTCTGCCACAATTCTGCGTGCGAAAAATCATATTTTGAGCATGCAAAAGTGCGTTTTGCACGCACGCGAACTGAGTTTTGTGGAGAAAATGTTTGTCTCGCAAAGAAGAAAGTATTTTGAGCGCACGAAAATCAATTTTGCATTTAAAATACGTGTTTGAATGTGTGCAGACCTTCTCTTTTGCGCGTGCAAGGTTTCATTAGCTTGCTCCCTTGATGCCCGTCCTCAGTGCTCTCTAAATGCCAACGGCTCGCTTACTCAACACAACCCAACGTTACAATTTGCCATAATTCCAGCCAATCAGAGACGAGGCTGCTACATTCTAATTGGCTGCCTTGACAACCAATCACAACATTCCTTGCATTAACTCGACAGCAGAAGAGAAAAAATGCAGTGCATGCATAATTGATGTCCCGCTCTATTTCTGACATACTCCAAGCATTAGCGCCACTTCTGACCTGAAAGAGAAATTGATTCGCGACGTGACGCAACAGCGCTCGCCTCTGATGTAGATATGTTAGGTTCACAAGGAAGGCAGTTCAAATGCTGTTTTTCACAACTTACACTACACAGTGTCTTGTAATCTTGTAATGTCATCTGTATGGTTCTGTTGATGGAGTAATCCTGTGTTTGCGTCTCTAGTATTTCCTCTCCTCCTACTACAAGCGAGTATCAGTGGGCGGGGCTAAAGAGGCAGTAATGTAAAAGCAGGCATTAATCTTCTCCTGCGGAGGTGGGGCTTAGCCACACTATTACGTTATAAAGTGGCACATTCCAAAACAAGTCGTTTTCTGAGCTTGGTTTCAATAAAACCTGTTTTTTAAACTAACGAGAAAGTTGAGTTTTGAAACTTACAGGATGTTTTTTATAGTACATTTTTATAGTACAAGGCAAATTTGATTTCTCAGTTCATGACCCCTTTAAAGGAATAGGTCACCCAAAATTTGCGGACTGTTTTTTTTTTGTGGTACAGAAGAAGAGAATTTTTGATGAATCATTAAGCAGCTTATAGATGTCATAGTAACTGCCAGGGTCTAAATATCCTGAGATTTTACTTTAAGTACTTCTCTTCTATAGTACTCTAATCCAGTAGTTTGATGATGTTATTGACATCCAACCTGATTCGGTGCATTGAAAGATGCCATATTTTGAAGCTGCAGTCAAGGATGAGATTTGTAGTGAATGAAATTTCACACAAAACTAACATATGGCTTCAGTCATCTGGCCCACTTTTGTGATGCTTATTTTGTTTAGTGTTTGATGTAATTCCTAGAGTTTGACAGATATATTCACTATGAACTTTTATTGTATGGAAAAGACTAAATAATGACAGAATTTTCAATATTTTGAGTGACAGATCAATTAATTGCACAGTATTATTGCATTTAAGGATTTTTGGCTGAATTTTAAGTTTTCATAATTAATTTTTTTATGTTTGAATATTTTTGAGTCTTATAGGCATATTGTTTCTTCTGTATATCTCATATGTCAATAGATTTTATTATGATAAATCGCACCTTGTTCTCTAGAAACTGGCATCCACCATTATAATACCCATATCACCCACTGCTTTTAAGTGCTATTGGTTAAAGATGAATTTACAAACATATTACATAAAAGATGATAGGCAGCACATTATTTTCTGGGTTAATATTTTTGTTCTGTCTGGCGAATACAGATGTCATCTGTTCCTAGTGGATATTTCTAGCCCAGAATGCTGGCATTCATACTGCTGGTGCATAGCTGAATGAATAGGTAAACATAAGACTGGAAAAGTGTCTGCTGTCTGCTGTGCCTCGCCATCTTTCCCCTCCTTCTGAACCCAAGTCTGGTATTTCCTCTAAATTCACTCACTCGCTTTCTCTGTTCCTCTTGTGTCAGTCCCCTGAGTCTGAGCTTTTTTAAAGAATTAGGATAATCCATATGTAGGGTGAAAATGCATTAATGCGTTGAAATTCGTTAGTAATGGCTGTCATGATGCATAGACCACAATAGCATTAGGATGATTCATGTTTTTTCTGTGGCTTTTTCTTCTCACAGCCGGTGACCTGATTGACTTTCCACTAAATGAGGCTCTTGCACCATTTGAATACCCCGACTTCTACAAAAAATGAATGATTGACCTAGTGCAAGCCTATTACAAGACTCACAGGGGAATATTTATTGGGCTTTCACGTTAATTACATTGTACAGTTATGCAATCATATTCTACAGATTAATATACTATCATTTAACTCAGTGTTTTGTAATGCCAATTTTATTTAATAGAAAACCAATGAATTCATGTTCACATTTCTCATTGTTTATTTTCCACTGTTAGGTATAGAAATAATGAATTGAATAAATCTGTTTCCGATTCTGTTCCACTGAAAAATACCATTAACGATTACTTTTAAATACACTTTATCATATGTGAAAACAGTAATTACACTGATTTAGTAGTTACACCAGGGGTCTCCAAATTTGGTCCTGGAGGGCCGGTGTCCTGCAGAGTTTAGCTCCAACTTTTGCCTCAACACACCTGCTTGGAAGTTTCTAGTATGCCTAGTAAGACCTTGATTAGCTGGTTCAGGTGTGTTTAATTAAGGTTGGAGCTAAATTCTGCAGGACACCTGCCCTTCAGGACCGAGTTTGGAGACCTCTTTAGTTACACTGATTCTCATGAGCCCTAAGTAAAAAGTAATGCTTACTAGCTGTTGTTTTGAATTGGACATTGCTTCAGTTTAGTGATTCAATGAGCAAATGACTCATTAAACTGATTCAAACCAATAATATGAGTCTTTTTGAATAATACGAACCAGCTGATAAGAGTCATTCATTCTTGAATTGGACTTTCCTTCATGCTGTATGTTTACTGTTCTGTCACCATCGGCAGAAGTAGAAGATCAGGCTGAACTGAACATCATGAAAATCTTTTTCAGTTTTTTATTTATCAATCATCAACTAATATTTTTTTTTCAATGGCCTTATTATAAAGAAGGTAGAATGGTTCTTGCGTTAATTGGTAACTTTTATGGGACCGGTTGTTTCATCGTCTCCTGAACTGTTTGTGCAGGTCTCTGGATGGCCGACTGCAGGTATCTCACAGAAAAGGCCTTCCCCATGTGATCTACTGCCGGCTGTGGCGCTGGCCTGACCTGCAGTCCCACCACGAGCTGCGTGCTGTAGACTTGTGCGAGTTTGCCTTCCATACGAAGAAAGACGAGGTGTGTGTGAACCCTTACCACTACCAGCGTGTAGAGACACCAGGTAAGCCCAACAGGTGTTTTACCTCTAGTTATTCAAAGACTGTTTGCTTCCATAATCAGTTTTGTGTATGAAACTAATTTAAGGGATTTTTTGGGGATACGTTTTTTTTCCTGTGTGCGTGTTCAGTTTTGCCGCCAGTCCTGGTTCCTCGGCATGCTGACATCTCCACAGACTTCCCTCCGCTGGATGATTTCATCCCTGAGAACACCATATTCCCAGCGGGCATTGAGCCTCCGAGCAACTATATACCGGGTGAAAACATGTTTTCTGTTCTCTCTCCGAAAATCACACATTAACTTTCACCCAGACATGGCCTCAGGACAACACAACAGGCATTACTCATTCTAACACACACACACACACACACACACACTGGTTCACAGACACACATCTGCTTGAGTTTATTTTGTCTTCTCTCAGTTCATTTAAGCTGTTTTGTCAAAATCAGAGTGTTTAGTCTGGCGTCTTAACAAAATTGGTAAAGCGAATAAGACAAGGAGAGATCAAAGTGCTGATCTCATGACTGGTAACATCATATTGAGGCTTAAGACTGTTGGTGTTAAAAGTGCTTCACATGACTTGAGTGAAAGAATTCCTCTTTTCAGGTAGAACTTCCCACTAAACGACAAATTTACAGTGTGGCATTTGAGATATTACTTCAGAAATCCAAGCACATACTACAAAGAAAGTTTGAACTCATTCAAGTTTTAATTCTGTGACTAGTAGGGTTGGATCTAGGGCTGGGTGGTATGACGATATATATTGTGATGATGGTATAAAGTGTCAATCATTAGAGATTTTGCTATATAGTTTATTTTGCGGTATGCAAATATATCAGCGTAGCACAGTACTACTTAAGAGTGATAAGGAAACATGCATGAAGGAGAAAATAAAGAGCAGGAAGTACTTGATGTTAAATATAGTTATTAAGCACAGTAAGCTGTGAAAAACAAAAGACAGAGAAAATCACTCACTGCTCTTGATTGAATCACTTCTGTATCTTAAATAATTCACATTTGATTAAAGGGGTCATATGATGCGATTTCAAGTTTTCCTTTCTCTTTGGAGTGTTACAAGCTGTTCGTGAATAGATAAGATCCCTGAAGTTGCAAAGACTAAAGTCTCAAAACCAAAGAGATATTCTTTATCAAAGTTAAGACTCTGCCACTGAACATAGCAGTCTTCATTTACTCCCAACATCTGAGCCACTGAAGACGCAGAGGATTACGTTTGTTTTTGAAGAGAATGCACCCCCGGTCTACCTAAATGTGTTTATGTTCGCGCGAATCATTCGTGATCCAGCTTCACCTACAGAAGAAGTGAGTGTAAGGTTTTTTTTAATGAATCTTTGCAAATCGCCTTTCCTAATAATGTGCTAATTAGCAAGTTTCACGATGAATGCGGCTAAAGTAAACAGTCCCTCAGAGAGCAGCTCGGAAGAGAGGGGCGGGGTCAGCATAGCTCATTAACATTTAAAGGAAAATGCTACAAAGCTGCGTGCTCTGAAAAGAGCTGTTTTTGACAGGGTAAAAAAGGTGGGTTTTTTTACACTACCATTGAGAAATTTTAACCAAACGATGTTACAGACTTTTCATTAAGACCCTAAAGAATCATATCAACTTGTGGAAAATGGGCATCTTATGACCCCTTTAAGGTTTGTTTAATTTGTATCATGTTCTGTTGTATTTGTCATATTGTTTGTAATTTGCTTCTTACTTTTAATAAAAAAATAAAATAACAGAAATAACTATATCAAGCTCGGAAATTGTTATCGTGAAATAACATTTCTTATACTTTGAAATATCGCCCACCACTAGTTGGATCTACATGATTTTGGCTTTGATACAGTTTCAGCCTCTGGTACCCCTGTATCAATTGATACTTCAGGCTATAAATAAATGGCCAACACACCAAAAGCTGTGTGTTCTGCAGGGACAAAACTCTGTTAACTCTTCATAATAATAAATGTCTGATTTATGTTTCAGAGACCCCTCCTCCAGGCTACCTGAGTGAGGATGGGGAAACCAGCGACCACCAAATGAACCACAGCATGGACACAGGTTAGAGACCTGAGTTCACAAACAAGTTGCTATTAGATACCTAATTATATTTGTTTATACTTTTCTAATTCTATTTTTTAGGCTCCCCAAACCTTTCACCCAACCCTGTCTCTCCTGCAAACAGCAACCTAGGTAAGAACAGGCATTTGTTCATAATGTTTCACAGCCAAATAATATGCTTTCATAAATATTCCAGATTGTCCTAGAGATATCGATTACCAAATGTTTGTACACGTCTACTCATTCTTTTCTATTTTTCTAACTAGAGGTCGACCGATAGTGGATTTTACAGATACCGATATAGCTAGGTAGGACCACACTGGCCGATACCGATTAATCAAACGATAGTTTTTAAAATCGATATACTGAACGAAAACTAAAATAGTGCTTTACTATTTAAAGAAGAAAAAAGAACAGTACTGAATCATACTTTGTAAATGAATAAAAATATTAATATTATTTATATATCAATCATTAGTTAGTTCATAATTCATTATCTATTGTTAACAGAAGCAACTTTAACATTTAAAAATGTATTAGTAAAAGTTGAAATTAACACTCTAACAAAGAACAATACTGCCACAGCTTTTATCAACCTTAGTTAAATTACAAATGGAGTCCTATTGTAAAGTGTTACCATTTAATTTCAACAGTCATGCTTAAAGATGGCCATCTTTAAATATCTACACAAAGACCATAGAATTGAAGTTACATACATATGGATATTGTATGTATACTCTTTATTAGCTTCTATTTTAGAACACTTGATTATCTAATCAAAATATGTTAGTCACACACCAGGCAAAAGCGCAGTGCTGCGTCACGTTCAGTTCAAGCGGCATCTAAAACAGTTTATTTAATCACCAAACAGGCAAAAGTTTACTTCAAGAATGAACAAAGTGGCATAGATGAGTTTGAAGTTCTGTGTTAGGTGTAAAAAACAGTAGGGATGCACCGAAATGAAAATTCTTGGCCGAAGCCGAAACCGAACAAAATGAATCACTGGGCCGAATACCGAACACGGTTTTTTTGAGTTTTTTCCCCATGTATTTTGCCAATTTTTTTTCCACCATTGCATGAATTAAATATCCAAAATGTGCTTTTTACTGTTTTGTCTTGCTTTTCAAAGAAAAAAAACAACAATTTAAAAATATTTAACACTGAACATTTTTAACGTTCTAGCAGACACTATACTAACAAAGTACAATTTAACTTAAAATTAGTAAGTTAGTAAAATAATATTTTTTGGCCATCAGACCCCCTTCTTGAATCAGGCATGTATTTTTACTGTACAATTAAAAGCAGCCTTGCTGAGAAGAGACTTATTTTAAAACATTAGAAAATATTACATATCCTAATTTGAACACTATGTGTGAATGTTATAATAAATTTATTAACAGAGCTGTTGTAATGATTATTATCATTATTATTGTCTTACTTTTTATTTTATTTTACAGAACAACTGTAAAATTACAATACTAACATTTATGAATGTTGATAGAGTTCTTGCTTTTTCTCAACTTTTATTTTGGCGGAAATGCGCAGGAAGACCTCAATGCTTCTTTTTGTTGACAGCAGATTTATAAATGAGATTTTTAAAGAGATTTATAGATAAGATTTTCCTCGTGCTTTGGACTTTGAACCCTGGTTAACAAGCAGATAGCGCCCGAGTTCGTGCAGTGCTGTCAGAATACATGCAATGTGTTTCAGAATACATGCAATTTATTTACTGATTGTTTAAGGCCATTTCGCCATTTCAATCATCATACAGTAACCAGCAACAATCAGCCCTTCCTCTTCTCATCGAAGACATGCGATGCAGTACTAAACAGTCTCTCGCTGTCGGTGCTTATTGTTTAAGGCCATTTCGCCATTTCAATCATCATACAGTAACCAGCAACAATCAGCCCTTCCTCTTCTCATCGAAGACATGCGATGCAGTCCTAAACAGTCTCTCGCTGGTGCTTGTAATGATTTTTGCGTCTTTCTCAGACAGTTTTAAATGCTTCCACACTGCTGACATGTGTGCTGCATTATAAAGAGCGCGCCTCTCACTCTTCGCTGGTTGCTATTTGTTCGCGTGATATCATTGTTCGGTACAATTTATTCGGTCTTTTCGCTTTTCGGCCGAACAACGAAAGAGCTTTTTTTGCTGTTTTCGGCCGAATAATTTCGGTTGCCGAACATTCGGTGCATCCCTAAAAAACAGAGCAAATGGAAAGAGAAAGCACAATCTATATTATAGCTCTCTATACAGTATGAAGCATACAGACTTTATTAGAGCCACAGAAAGACAAACGTTTTACTGCACAATATACAGTTTTACAGCCTGGGGTGAAGTAATTATGTACATTACATTTACATTTAGTCATTTAGCAGACGCTTTTATCCAAAGCGACTTACAAATGAGGAAATTACATACATTAACAATGATTTGGGACAAATATAATGTAATTTAATGAAAAACTGTGTGAGTGGTGCTCTGTGGCACGGCAGGATTTCTGTCGGCTGAATGAACATATCAGTGTGCTTTCTCATGTCACAGCTTTAAATCTGCAACTTCGCTGGCTAACAAATGCATTAATGTTACCAGCTGGATATAAACTAATGCAAATAGATGGTAACAATCATGACATTAAGCATTTGGGTCGGACTTGTGTGTGTTTTTTTGGTTGTTTTAACCATTTGAGGTGCTGCTAATGTTTGCGTCCTCTCGGCATTGATAACAAACATACTGCTGTTCTTTCTCCACTAATGCAGCATCTAGTCAACAAATTAATTACTTAGTAATGATATGAAATGATAATGAAAAAAAAAAAACAGAGCAAATGGAAAGAGAAAGCACAATCTATATTATAGCTCTCTATACAGTATGAAGCATACAGACTTTATTAGAGCCACAGAAAGACAAACGTTTTACTGCACAATATACAGTTTTACAGCCTGGGGTGAAGTAATTATGTACATTACATTTACATTTAGTCATTTAGCAGACGCTTTTATCCAAAGCGACTTACAAATGAGGAAATTACATACATTAACAATGATTTGGGACAAATATAATGTAATTTAATGAAAAACTGTGTGAGTGGTGCTCTGTGGCACGGCAGGATTTCTGTCGGCTGAATGAACATATCAGTGTGCTTTCTCATGTCACAGCTTTAAATCTGCAACTTCGCTGGCTAACAAATGCATTAATGTTACCAGCTGGATATAAACTAATGCAAATAGATGGTAACAATCGTGACATTAAACATTTGGGTCTGACTTGCGTTTGTTTTGGTCACATTGTTTTAACTGCTTGAGGTAATACTAATGTTCGCGTCCTTGAAAGCTACAGCTGCTCCAGCTACGGATGCAACCCGGAAAAACTATCGGCATGGATTTTTGCTGATAGCCGATAGTTCCGGCAATCAACTATCAGTATAAACTAACATGTGGAGAATAGTATTAGTGAAGTTGTCAAACTGATAAAATAACACTAAAGTTAATATAGGAATTATACTTTAAAAGTTAAACAAAATCTTGTAGAAGATATCTCATATTTAAAATGTTTCAAAGTTGCCACCTTTTGTGAAAACTTCGGCTTTCCTGTCAGCAACTTTTGCCTTTAATGTGTGGCTGTAGTTTGTTTCTTGAAAACAGTCATCACTAAAAGTGTTTGTTGTGATGGAAACCCTGCAGAGTCAGTCTGATTTCTGTAAGTACTCCACCCCACTGTGAGTTTAATCTGGCTGGATTATCTCTGATTTATTATCTCCGTAACGTTGGTCTGCCTGCCTGGTCCTGTGTGAAGTGATTTAGTGAGAACGGAAGTCTGCTTCAGTGAGCCCATGAGAAAACAGTAGGACGAGTCACTGCCAGTAAAACACATGAGCATAATGCCACCAGCATCCTGTACTATCCTCATTAAGCGAGTCCACCTACGATAGGGAAGACCTGGCAGAAAAAACGTATTGCTGTTATTGTATATTTGTGACAATACATTATAACCCATTTATAATCAGTGATGCATTCTACACTGGATGCGGCACGGAGCGACACAACACGACACGACAAATCCCCAACAGTAAACTGATGCCTCATTCTGTTTATGAAGTACACAAAGTACAAATGATTTGCAATGGTCGCTTTGTTGCGTCCAGTATAGACAGCCTCTAGCTGTTGAGGCGCAATGCGACATATGTCACGTCCGTTGAAGACACGTCGTAAGAAGTGTAAAGTAATAATGTTGCCTTTTATTAGAAATGTATACTGTGTGTAAATAACCGCACCAAACATTGAGATGTTTGCACTCACATTCCTCTTGTGTGTAGGACCAAAAATTTTTATCATATTGAAAAAGCACAAAAGGTGTATACTAAAAAAGGTACAGAGTGCAAAGACGGAACATTTTCAATATTATATCATCATCAGTGGTTATTAGGAATTTACCTTACCATTTGGGATTGATAAAAATGTTTTATGTTTTTAAAAAAAAAGTGTCATGCTCTGAATTATTGTGTAATTTTATTACAAATTCAAATAACTGAAATTTGAATTTTGAAAACTACATTTTAAACTACTTATTTTAAAATATAATTTATTCCCGTCATGGCAAAGCTGAATTTTCAGCAGTCATTACTCCAGTCTTCAGTGTCACATGATCCTTCAGAAATATATTTATGTATCCTATGAATAAAAATCTTATATAAATAGGATAAAAATTGTTATTTAAATGACTAAGTAGGACAAATAACCAAATTTTGTTGTAAAAAAATGATCATAGTCCTCACAAAACATATATTTAACAATAAATATTGAATAAAAAAATTAATACAGACATATTTACTAAGCTACTAGTCAACCCATAACTGTTAGCCTCTTAGCTGTACAAGAGGAAACCTCATATAAAAGGATCCTTTGTTTCTGTCCTCTCAGTCAGCGCAGGGTAATGTAATAATAATAATATCCTGTCACTGGGTTGTTCTATCTCTGCAGAGACACCAGGAGGCCCTGTAGTAAAAATAACAAATAACCAATTTCACATGGATGGCCTGCTGTTTTCAAAGGGCCACATTCTGTCACAATGTGACAAACTACACACTGATTTTACACCAGAATCCAAAGTCCAGGGATTTTCCTGTTCTTTGACACTGTCTTTGTTCTGCACTTGTTTTGTAACTGATGCTTTCTCTTGTTCTGCACTTGTTTTGTAACTGATCCTTTCTCTTGCTCATTTATGTGTGTGGGTGTGTGTGTGTGTGTGTGTGTGTGTGTTAGATCTGCAGCCGGTAACATATTGTGAATCCGCATTTTGGTGCTCGATTTCCTACTACGAGCTGAATCAGCGTGTGGGTGAGACTTTCCACGCCTCGCAACCATCTTTGACCGTAGATGGCTTTACGGACCCCTCTAACGCAGAGCGCTTCTGCCTGGGCCTGCTGTCCAATGTCAACCGCAATGCAGCTGTAGAGCTGACGCGCAGACACATCGGTACATTCAGCTCACAATTATAAAAAATGTACTGGGCAATATTGGAATCAGACATTCTGAAATGAACTGAATCTGTTTAACCTCATAACCTTTCCTCAGGCCGAGGTGTGCGTTTGTATTACATCGGCGGTGAGGTGTTTGCTGAGTGTCTGAGCGACAGTGCTATTTTCGTTCAGAGTCCGAACTGTAACCAGCGCTATGGCTGGCACCCCGCCACAGTATGTAAGATTCCTCCAGGTGAGTCAGCCCGTTTGTATACTGATTGGATGAATGTGCAACTGTGTATATATATCCTATGAGTCACTCAAGCATGTACTAGTGTCAGACTTCCTCATTCTGTTTCATAGAAGCACTCAAGCATATATATGTGACTGTGTCTCAGGCTGTAATCTGAAGATCTTCAATAATCAGGAGTTTGCAGCTCTGTTGGCCCAATCAGTGAATCAGGGATTTGAGGCTGTTTACCAGCTAACCCGTATGTGCACCATTCGCATGAGTTTCGTCAAAGGCTGGGGGGCAGAATACAGGTAAGCCAAGACACTCATCAGAGAAAGCACTTACATTACCATTCAAAAGTTTGGGGTCAGTAAGATTTTTTTTCTTTTTTTAAACTTTTATTCTGCAAGAAATTATATATATTCCTATTATTATAGTATACAGGTGCATCTCAATAAATTAGAATGTCGTGGAAAAGTTCATTTATTTCAGTAATTCAACTCAAATTGTGAAACTCGTGTATTAAATAAATTCAGTGCATATACAGTAAATGAACATACTTTCCAGAAGGCCAACAATTCACTAAAAATGTTTTTTTTATTGGTCTTATGAAGTATTCTAATTTGTTGAGATAGTGAATTGGTGGGTTTTTGTTAAATGTGAGCCAGAATCATCACAATTAAAAGAACCAAAGACTTAAACTACTTTAGTCTGTGTGCATTGAATTTATTTAATACACGAGTTTCACAATTTGAGTTGAATTACTGAAATAAATTAACTTTTCCACGACATTCTAATTTATTGAGATGCACCTGTATATTCTATCCTATAATAATTCACTCATACACATACACTACTGTTCAAAAGTTTGGGATCAAGATTTTTTTTTATTTTTGAAAGACATTAACATATAATATAATAATTTTATATACTCTACCTTTTAAAAGTTTGGGGTCAAGATTTTTATTTATTTTTATTTTTTTGGAAAGAAATTAAATGCTTTTATTCAGCAAGGACACATTAAATTGATAAAAATGACAGTGAAGATCATGAAGAATGTTACAAAGGTAGAACCTGCTTAGAGATTTTCTAAATCTGTTCTTCATAACTGCATCACTTTCAAAAGTGCTCTATAGTCGTAGATGCTGAGTATTAAAAACAAAAGCACAAATGGCATTTAATCACTTTCTGTGACAGTAACACACAAAAAGCTAATGGCTGCCCTTGATTATGTAAAACGGCTATTCCTGGCTGGTCTGTAGTTAGTTAAATATGCTGGGCAGGCATGGAAGCACATTAGTGACCCAGATTCTCCTTCCTGCAGGCGGCAGACAGTGACCAGCACCCCCTGCTGGATAGAGCTGCATCTCAATGGCCCCCTGCAGTGGCTGGACAAGGTGCTCACTCAGATGGGCTCTCCGAACCTCCGCTGTTCCAGTGTGTCATAGGACAAACCCTCAGCCCGTTTCATGTAACCATACCCTTCTAATGACATCGTCTATTGCTGCTGAATGCCAAGCAAACAAACAGAGCAAAACCAAGGACGGGGGAGACAAACACCTGCTGGACTCCTCAGAGTGTCACTTTATCATTTACAGATCCTAATATTTTGCTTTGGGCAAAAATAGGCACGTACAGTTGAAGCACTTTGAACAATGACACTCAAGGAGTGTGGATGATATTTCCACAGTGTGATGAGTTTAAAATGAGGCATTTTCCTCATTGTGAATTTAAATGTGATAATGAAATTATGATTTTGTCAGTTTTTGTTTTGATCAAGAAGTGTATCACGCATTTAATTTGATCTGAAGGTATTAGAATCATGGGCTCAGAATATGATTGCTTAAAATCATAAACATCCTCATAGGGGGCCTCAAAGAGTGCTTTGTTTCCACCACCTTCAGTGAAGGGGTCTTGTGTGAACTTTTACAGTATGTTAGCCTGAAGCTAGAGCTTCAGGAAGCTGTTTGTGTAGTTGTGCTCAAGTAAATTGCACTGCGCTGCACAGGTCAATATACAATGTGATTGCGATTGCCGTTGATCTCATGCACGGTCGACCAGGTTTGTATACTCCTGACAGGAACTGAGGTACTTAGCCTTGATTATGAAAAGCACTTGTTTTTACAACCCAGTGATGGTGTGAACAACAAAATAGCATTGGAAATTTGTCAGTGACATGCTAGTAGCTAATAGTGCCATTTTATTTCTTGAACTTCATGGATACTGTTTGAATTTTGCTCGGCAAAGACATTTTTGTATAAAGTATTTTTGCATTATAAACGGAATGGAGATTGCGAAAGTATATTTTTACTGCTGCCCTAGGGTATTGTAATTAAGATCACTGTCATGTTACGCATAGATATAAAACAAACAAAAAAAAAGGGTCCAGGACTTTTGAAACAAAATTTTAAAGATAAAGATTTCTACAGAATTTTGACTGTTGTCAGTAATGTAGTGATGTTATATAGCATCAGACTTTCACCTGATTGCACGGACTCCTATCGAAATGATTGGATTTTGCCTGTATAAATTCACAGAACCATTAATGTGACCACACCTTTAGTCATCATTTTTTTCATTTCAGCAATCGCTTGATTTCATTGTCCTTTCGTTGAATCTGTTCGGTGTATAATTGGCGCATCAAAGGGATGTCTCCAACTCAGGACTGTCAATCCATTCAACTGATTTTTGAGCTCAAAACTCATGTAACAACTAACAGCATTTCATGTCTCTACATACTACTCTATTTTACTGTCGGTGATTTCTGAGTGGGTAAAAAATTGCCACTATTTTGAGTTTTTATTTTTTATTGAAAAACGGAGGGCAAGTACTGCTGGTAGCTCTTGGAACGCTTGTATTTTTATGTAAAAATCGATTTCACAAGAGGATAGTATAAATGGCTAGATTTTCATGTGGACCCTTTCCTCATGGGGTTATTCAATTTCCTTGATTTGTTAGTACTGACATTTAACAACTCAATGCATGGTCTGGCTTTTAACAGCATAAATCAGCAATCCATTTTTATTGGGTGATGTCTGGTCTCAAGGAAGAAGCTCTGAATCACTGATCATGAAGATCCTGACAATCTCTGCTTGTTTTTCGAAAATCAAATTGATGTTTCATTGAAAAACTTACGCTTGTGTTTGATTCCCCCAAGCTGATTTTTGCTATGAATCTTGCCTGCTCTTCATCTGTTACTCAACAGGGCCAAAGCACACAGTAGACTGTTGATATTATTTAAATTTGTCCTTTTTGCTGGAATTTTGCTTGTATCCTGTTTATTTTCTTGCACTCTTGATTTAGAAGCAAATGAAGCATTCTTTGTCTTATAGTGTCAGTAATTTCATTCATATTCTGAAACTGGTGCTTAGTTCGTTTGCCCTGAATTTCCCTTTTGCTTTTCTGTAACGTACACTCACATTTACTTCTCTTGCATTCACTGTCATATTGACTTTTATGTAAGTTTTAATAATAAATTCTTTTAAGAGCATCGTTTCACTCTTTTTCTAATAGTATGTAAAGGATAATTTCATCATGTCAAATGAATTTGACAACATATTTCCAAAACAAAAGAACATCAAAAAATGATTCGACAGATCCTTCTTTTAATTGATGAAGAGCTAATGACATGCACAAGCATAGTCCGTAATTGTGACTTACATCATAAAAATAAAGGAGAAATAAAAGTTTAAAAACAATCCACTTTTACCAGCTCATCTCATTTGATTTACGACTCTTTTTGACAGAACCATAGGCTTCATCCTTGTATGTGGCTGCAGACTTGCACCACCAGAGAACAGACAAGATAATCTTGCCCCCTGCAACACGTCCCATGGCTCTTGAGATTACAATGTTTGAAGCCAAAAGCCCATAATGACTCTGTACTGCCTGATTGAGGTGTTGGACACTGATATATAATAATAACAGCAGTATCATGAAAATCTCCATTGCTGTTTTTGCCCACGTTCTTCCACGTTTCTTGGGTGGGACAGGACTGGGCAGGGCAGATTTGGGATGACTGGGGGTTCAAAGGGTGGGCTGAGTATCAACAGTGGAAGCTGGTTAAGAGTCACTAGGGCCTTAACTCTCCTCCCCTGATGACAAGCCGTCAATCTCATCCTGGTCTCCACCAATAGCCATCCAGAATGCTTTAGCAACCTGATTAAGGGTAATTCAATTGTTAGTGCAAAATTTAGATAGAAAAATATTACCATTAGTGTTAATGAGAAAATATTAAAGGTATATCACCTTTTCTGCATGTACTTTCCTCTGTTCATGTGGCAACGAAGAGGCCTTGTCTACAAATAAAGAGAGTTTTAAAAATATACTGAATATAGGAATATACTGTACTATTTGTAAAAAAAAAAAACACAAACAGGGCTTCACTTAAATTTGTCAGTTCTGAGTTTACATGATACAAGATACATAAAATAAAGTGTATCCAAAAGGTTTCCAAAAAAATATTAAGCAGCACAACTTTTAACATTAATAATAATTTATACTGTAAAATATTTCACAATATTACTGTTTTACTGTATTTTTGATCAAATAAATGCAACCTTGGCGAACATTAGAGTCTTTTCAAAGACATTAAAAATGTTTTTTTTTTAACTGATATATAGGTCTTATACCTTTCATCTCTTTCAATTTTGTCAAGAGTCGTTCAAAATTCTCCACATCTGCATCTCCAGCTGTTAGATTAGCCAACTCTTGTATGTCGATGTCAATCATGGGATCTTTGACAGATTAGCAAATATTTCATTAAACACTGAACTTTAGAAGTACCTTAAAAAATGTATAAAAAAAATAGCTTGTCCCACTACACTTTGTGATAATATCCTATTTTATCATATCATTCATTTACCTCCAAAATGAGTATAAATATATTGCCCTTAAAAAAAAGCACTTACCGACTGCTATATCTACTGCATTATTCTGGTTATTCTCTGCTCTCTGGTTCTCAGTGCCTTCATCTGTACTGTTGGATGGGGAATGAGAAGACTAATAACCAGAAAAAAATAGTCTGTTACAACGAGATGAGCTTAAGACTCTAAACTACTGTAAATAATGTTCAACTGCATACATTAAAGAGCAGCACAATTAGAAAAGGCTAACCAGTGTCTCTTGACAGGTTCGTGGGTTGTTGTGATGAGAGGCCACCAGGCTGCTCATTAGCCCAAATCCCTGACTGTGTTCTGAGAAGAATAAATGATAATTAAAGGGAAAGTTAATAAACATAGCTTAGAATGAAGCTGTGAATATGATTTGTTGTGTGGATGCCATTGGTCATTTCGCATTAGGGCAGTACAATCTCACCATCTTTCATCTCAACGCTGGACCACACGTTGGCATTGAGTGCCTGAACAATTCTTTTTACTCCAGTGGACTCTGGGAAGTCATCTATGGGGTACACAAAATAAACAAAATACTTTCAAAACAAAATGATTAATGTCTGTGCATAACTGCGACTAGACTTTGTTTTCTCTCTCACCATCTTCATCAGGTAGATCTTGAGGGTTGAGCTCTACTAATTCAAATGCGTGAGCCAGACACCACTGCTGGGCCTCCTGTTTGCTAACACCTACAACGTCATATTTACACCAAACTTAGTAAAAGACTGCATGTGTTGCACCCAAACCACTGAAAAAGTAGTACCAAACACACACACTCACCACTGTCACACGCATGGTCACACACTAGTATCAGCACTTCTGGAGCCAAATCCTCCACTACTGATAACCAGGAGTTGACACTGTTAAGGCTGTCTTTCTGAAATACGAAAAGAGTTTAATCAAGGCACAAACACTGAATGGTGAATTTGTAAAATGATCATAATTATCATAAACTCACAGTTTTGCTGTCAAAGTAAACGATGAACGCTTGCATAGACCGGGCAACCTCTGTATTCATGTCGAATGGACTTGAAACAACACATAAGCTGACGTTTGCTGTGTAGTACTTGTTATTGATTGTCCATGGATACCAAGAAACTCTTTCCTCCATTTTGGAAGCTTGGGGTAGTGCTTCTAAGCCCAAGATCTCTGAAATAAAACACACAAAACTGTTAAAGGCCAAGTGTGTATCTGATATCAATAAAAACACTGGCAGTGACACCAACCTCTAAAATAAACCGTAAACAAAATTAACTGAAGCTCAACACTGCCGCCTGCTGGACACGAAGAATCACTAGATAAAAATAATTACTACTTTTTTACGCATGAGGATTAAAAATGGATGTACCAAATGTGTCAGGCTATATATTGCACACTTATTATGTACTGTATCCCTGCATCAAGAAAATATGTAAAAAAATAACAGCACCAGTAATGATTCACATTTATTGTCCAGCTGGATCATGTTTTATCAATAATTTAAGATTGCTGCGATCAGAAAACCAACATAAGAGACAAACGTGTAAAGAAAGCACTCTAAGCACTATTACGAAACACTGCATGTTACATGAAATGAGCAAAAAGCCAGATTAAGATTCATAAAATGAGAGTCTGGCGATCTCTACAAAAAAATATTGATGTTATCGATGCACAATACAGTAATGCACAATATATGTTATGCATTTAATAATTAAACCGTTATTTCCATCGACACATTTTGATCTGTAAATAGGAGACAGCACGATGAATGTTTCTTGTTGACAGCTAACGTTAGCATAGCAGCAAGGCTAACGAGTGTAGAATAGATTTCCCCCTTTTACTCACGTCTAATGAGCTCCTCTTCTTTAAAGCCGGGATCACAGCTTGTGACTAAGATACAAGGTAGGGTAGGTACTTCATCTGCTTGATCATCTGCCATTTTAAGCTTTTGGACACTTAAAAACAGCTCCTAATGAAAGTTAGCACGTTAGCAACAGCTGTCACCCACCTCCAGGAAACCTTTCACCTCTAACCTCAACTTACTTCCGTGTCTGCGCGCGCGTGTTAGAAAATCTAAAGTTTAAGAGTAAAATAGCTTTTTAGTGAATAGCGCAATGATGATGGCACCGTGATGATGGTGATACACCCTGATTATTAATGAAATGGTAATAATAACAAATAATACTGGCCTGACTGACGGAGACTGTACTGCCATATGCGTCGTGTTGCCATAGTTACGGCCAGACCGTTGTTTAGAAAACATAAAAGACTTGGAAGCGAGAAAACGCAATTAGAAAAAAAAGCTTAAATGTAATCTGAATTATTTAGTAGAAAAATGTCCGATGTCCTTAAAAATAAGGATGACGTTGGGCATATTTTAGTATAGGTAATGTGCTCAAGTACAAAATAATATAAAAGAAGGCTTGACAGCTGTTTTAAGTTTTAATTAAATTACTTTGAAACTATACTAGTTACGTTATATAATTTAATATTAAATAAT